CTTTTGCCATGTTATATAAATTATAATTTGTATAACTCTTATACAAACGTTAGTGGCGGCTATGACGCATATCTGAGTATTTCAATACTCAGGCATCATTTGTTTAAATGGTGTTAGGTTTAGCAGATGGTCGAGTGCAAGGCAGTCATCGCACATGCTAGAGTTTTCACAGCTTCCTCTCTTTTGGTGAGCCCACCTTCGTACTCGTGGGACCACAATATTTCAGTTGTATAATTTTGTATAGTGCAGACAAGCTCCGTAACTTTATTACTTTATTTGTAGCGTCATGGAGGCTCCGTAGAGGATTTATATTATCTTAGGGGAATGGGTACTCATATGACATTGCGGATGATATTTTTACTTATGTCTAGTTTATGTTTTTTTGATGAAATTTTATTGTTAATGAAGTTTATCTTATTTCTCTCATATAATATTGTAATTACTTAAATGGATTGAGCTACACGATAACGAGTTGGGGTATGTATTATGCAATATAATAAATTCTTAGCATGAAATTCAATATTACAGTTGTGGCAGAAAAATATTTATATTTGTAGCACATTGTTCCATTAAAATAAGAATATTAATTATTAATCCCTAAACATAATCAATTTGAATGGAAAGTCAATAATTCTTTGTACAAAAATCATTCTTTTTTTTCATCTTCTTAATTTTGTTTTCTACCGAAGCCAATATATTTTCTAAATTTGTTCCATTCGTTTTCTTTTTAATTATCTTTCTTAAGTTTTTCTCTTCCTTCTTTCTTCCTTTCTTACTATAGAGATCTTACTTCAATAATAATATACGTTAATATATACAAAACGTATATATAAAATAATATACATTGAATTAACACATATAACGTATACAAAAAATATACATAAACAATATATCTTCAATTAAGATGACACTTAGACATGTGAAATATACATAAAAAATATATCTTAAATTTAATTAAGATAGCATATAAATATACAAAAACAATATAAAAAATACATCCTGAATTAAAATAGCACTTGACATATAAAATATATTTAAAATATACATTAAAAATATATTTTAAAATAAGATGGCACTTCACAAATAAATATACAAAAATTATATACATAGAAATACATTTTGAATTAAAGTGATACTTGATATACAAAGTATAAAAGACGTATAAATCAATACATCTTGAATTTAGGTGGCATTCACATATGCATCAGATTTTTAAAAATGGAGTGAAGAAGATGCATGTTGGAAAGGGAGAATGGAGATGGACAAAAAAAGTACTTCCCGTGATTAGTGAGTTAGTTAACTTATTAAATGTTGAGCTTAATTTTTATAATATGCAAATAATGAAGAAAAAAAATGCTCTTTATGGAATAAGCAATACTTTTGCATTTTTCTTTTACCTCCATATACATATGTTCATTATCAGTGAACATGACGCATATTCATTCCCATTTGAATTCAATGGACTTCAAACAGATATGTAACAAAATTTTCTAATGTATTAATAATAAATTTCCTTGCGAGAGAACGCATAGCATTCTATAGGTACATAGGATCAAACGTAAAGCAACGCTCTCTTTGCAGAGTTGTAGGCGGCGCTCTATCGTATCTCATAAACCAATTCATAAGGGAGTTGATTAGAAAATCCTCTGTGTCCAAGAAGTACCTTAGCATGCCAAATTTATGTCGAAGGTACGGCTCAAGTAAGCCTTAGTTTTTCAAAAGTCCCAACAAAAATAAAGAGAAAAAAGCTACAGGTTTATCTTCATTCTTTTATGATTTTCTCAAGCTTCTAAAAAACATAAAATCACAGTATCTTCATTGGAGTAGACCCCAAAGATTTCGAATATCAACATATATAACAAAATATATTATTGGGAAATCTATGGGTTCACTTATACGGGGAAAAATCTATCTATGTGAATAGTTTAAATTTTGTCTTTCGTGGTCTTTTTGATCTATTAATATTCTTTCCATTTGTAACTTATTTCATATTTGTCTTTGTCATTAACAAGACTCTAACATGATATGTGAACTCCATGTATTCAAAATATTCGAGAGAAAGGGTCCAGTTATGCCTGTGTATTTAGAACGATTCAATTACTTTCAAGCTTTTGGTCACTTAATACTCATGTCGCTGCAAATCTTGTCGCATTTTTCCTTAACATTAATGGAGCTCAATCGTGAAATGGGTGGACTCCGTGTTTTAACATTCTTCAAGAGAACGACTCCAAATTTATGTATGTGTTACTCGAAATAGTAAAAATTTGCCTTTGTTCAACTTTTGGTCACTTGTACTTTTGTCATTAGAAAATTGTCTCGTATGTGTTCTTGTCATTAATAAAGCTTCAAGAAATTTGTGGAAAATTTGAGTCTAAAGAAATTTTTGAGACTTTCACCTAAAAAGAAGGTAACATTAGACTAAAATTTAATGAATGAAAAGATTAAGCAATTCTGAATAGTTCTGAGCAATTTTTCTTTAGAAAATACAAAAACATAAAAAATTTAGAAATAGCGGCGCTTTAGTTGTATTTAGCGGCACTCTGATAAATAAAATTTTAAGAAAATAAAAAAATGGAAAAAATTAGAAATAGCGGCCCTTTATTAAATAAAATTTAGAAAAATTTAAAAATTTCGGTACTTTTATTGCATTCAACCTTTCACAAGTTAGAATTTTCTTTATAAATAATCGATTATATATCTCAATAAATGTACTTTAATTTGGTAATAAAAAATATGTAAATTTTGTTCATTTAAAAATACTAGTCTCTATGTTCGTGCTTTGCACGAATATATTTTGCATGCGTACCTAAAGTAATAAACTTTCAACTATTCATTATATAATACTATGTTATTGTAACTCTATTGTACCATCTATTTTTAAGTAGAAATAGAAAGGAAAATATTCAAGAAAGAGGATTTCCAGTAATATATCTAATAAAATTTAAATTCACTAACTATGGCTAAGAAGATTAATTAAAAACAGTTATCAAGTAAATTAGGGGAACTCAATCATATTCCATATACACTCTATTATTTAGGATATCATAAGTTGGTTTTCCTCTTTCGTGCCGAACTTGATCGTCATTTTCTACAAAATTCCTATTCATCGTCACTATAAAGAAAACAATATCGACATTCAAGCTGCCAATGTCAACGCAGAACAATTGATATAAATTTTCGTGTTGTTCAAAGAGTCATATTACATCGTTATGTGGAATATTCTAAATACAACAAAGTAATTTCACATCTTTCAAGTGCTTTAACTAATAAAATATTGCAGGATTGTTTTACGACATGACCTCAGGCCACACATAATAAAAGCCATATAACACAAAAGAGAGAAATAATCATAGATGTGAACTGCTTCATAACAAAGTTATACTAAAAGTTTGTATTAGCTAAAAGGTGGACAATATTTTTATAGAATATATTCATAAAATATAATTTAATGCAATAGACTGAGATGTTACTAATATTTATAATTTAGTAACACAGACTATGAGTTACAAAGTACTATAGAGTAATATTTATTTGAGATTGGAGCACTGTATTTTAATCTAAAGAGGGTAAAGTTACTTCAAAGTTCAAATTATTAATTAGACAATTAAAGTCCTAAATATTACTATGTTTTGAGCAATAGTGGGTCAATATGTCTTTTTATAACAACAAAATATAGTAGATTATCCTTAAAAACATATTTTTTAAAGGAACATGCCGTAGGTTTCTAATATAAATTTAGAATCATATCGAATAATTAGGATAGATTTTTAATTCTATAAAAAGAAATAAAAAATTTATCGAACTGAACTGAACAAATTTTATAGAAAAAATATGTTCTATAAATTGTTTTTCTATAGTATTTTATATGTGTTAACGATATTTTTTAGAACAAACAAATTTAGAAGCATTTATTTCAAGGTACCGTTAGTTCACTCCTACTATATTACTTTATTTATAAATTTTATTACGTGAATAGTTGAAAATCTCAAACTACATGAATGTTTAATTCCCTAACGTGTGATGCATATCACGTTGAGTCAAAAGCTTTGCAAATTGTCTGATCAATCGATGTGTATGCTAAAGGTACCGTAATTATTTTAGATCAGTATATATGTGTCTCATATTTAATTATCACGTGTTAATTATCAAAGAGTTGCATCCCATGCTATCCGATGTATTTCTTACTAAATATTGTTTAACACTACTATTATTATTTAGATGTGTCTAGTTAGTTGGGTTTGATGAATGTCGTGGTAGAACGAATTTGAGCTAAACACCATTAAATATAGTGCCATGTTAAATTACCTCTCAAACTTTAAATTCAAATTTTTGAATAAGTCTCGTGTCTAATATCTAATGAGAATACAATATGATAGTGAAGATGTATATAGTTGTGTAGAATCTTCTAGAATTAGTTATGTAGTCAGTTAGTTTAGGTTGTTAGTTAGCTGATACATCATCTATATAGGTATGTGAATATACTGTACAAAAATACAAGAGAGAAAATTTTCATTTCATTTCTCCCTTTCAATATTTCTCTCTAATACATTCAACTCCACAATCTCTTCTGCCGATTAGGGTTCATCAATTACCCCTAAAATTAACATGGTATCAGAGCAATTAATCGCGATTGCGAGTACACGACATTGATTCTGGGAGACTCTGTTAGTTCAACGATTCAATTAATAGGAGACTCTGTTAGTTCAACGATTCAATTAATAGGTGAGTTATAAAATTGAGATTCAACAATGGTGACAAAGACAGATTTGTACCATAATCATCCATTGTTCATTCATCCTTCAGACATGACGGGAGCTCCGATAATATTGATCTAGCTGACTGGTTTTGACAATTACATCACCCGGAGTCGAGCGATGGAAATCTAGCTGCTTGGGAAGTACAAGCTAGGGTTAGTCGATGGGACTCTAAAAAGGGGGAATTTTGATGCAGAACTAGGTCATCAGTGGGACCGATGTAACGCCATCATTTTAGGATAGATCATGAGCTCAGTGTCAAAGGAATTGATAACAGGGATTGTGTATGCGAAGAATGCTAGAGCTGTTTGGGAAGATTTGAGGGAACGATTTGATAAGATGAACATTTCACGAGTGTATCAGATGCATAAAGCAATAGCTACAATTACTCAAGGAGCTGATAGTGTGTTAGTGTATTTCTCCAAACTTCGTAATATCTGGAATGAGTTTGACAACATGGTACCACCTCTATGTGATTGTGCCAAGTCTAAAAATTTTATTGAATTCATGCAAAAATAGAAGGTCTTACAGTTTTTTATGGGCTTGAATAAAACCTACGAACAAGCTAGAAGCCAAATCTTGATGATTAGCCCTACACCAAGAATTAATAAGGCATATTCAATGTTGGTTGAGAGGGAAAGCCAAAGATCAGTGGCCAACATCATGACAGCAGGGGATGTAAGTGATTCTGCAGCTCTTTTGGCTGGTAAGGGTGATAAGCACCAGAACTATCAGAGACCAAAAAAAAACTAGAATACGCAATATGACTATTGTAACATGAAAGGTCATACGAAGGAAGGATGCTACAAAATTATTGGATATCCTGCAGGTTTCAAAGGGAAGAAGAAAATGAACAATGCATATAATGCTTGTGCTGAAAACAATCAGCCCAATGTAACTGCTCGAAATACATGAGGCATTGGTCAGCCTGAGGGATTTAACAAAGGAGAAATGGCTAGAGCACCATAATTGACCACATAGCAGTATGATCAGATCATGAAGATGCTGAGTCTGAATATCAATCGAGAACCACAACAGGAAAATACAGCCAACATGGCAGGTAATGCTTATTCATTTCTTGTTGATATAGCAAAGGCACACTGGATAATAGACACGGGAGCAACCAATCACATGGTTGCATATCTAAGATTGTTGAATAATGTTAAAGCAGTTAACATTAAAGACACTAAGAAGGTTAATCTACCAAATGGGGAAGTAGTACATGTGACACATATTGGGAATTGTAGAGTCACAGGAACAGGGAAAATCAAAGATGTGTTGTTTTTACCTGATTTCCAATACAACCTTATGTCGGTGTCTAAGGTGACAAGGGATCTTAAATGTCTGGTTGCATTCTACCATGACTTTTGTTTGTTCCATGACCTCTTCAATGGGGAGGTAAAGGGTATGGGTAGAGAGAAAGATAGACTTTACCTACTAGTATCACAAATAAATAAAGCAGCTGGAGCATAACCAAGGGAAGTAACAAGAGGACTAACAGTCACATATAAATAAAGAATAAGTAATGGTGTTGCACAAGAGATTGGCACATGCTTCAGGAGGAGCTATGAAAAAACTTCTAGGTTACAACTTAGAAGTATGCCAATCTGTAATAGATAGTTGTGATGTATGTCCACTAGCCAAACACCACAGATTACCTTTTCCTTCAAGTACTAATAGATCAAATAAAGTATTTCAATTGTTGTATTTGGATGTCTGGGGCCCATATAATACACCAACTTTTGATGAAAATAAGTACTTCTTAATGATAGTAGATGACTATTCTCGCGTGATATGGATTTTTCTGCTGAAAGTTAAATCAGATGTCATCATAGTCCTTAAAAGTTTCCTTAAAATGATTGCAACTCAGTTTAGTGCAGTGGTTCAGGCAATAAGGTCTGATAATGGAGGGGAGTTTGTGAACTCAGAAATGCAGGACTTGTTTAGGTCCTTTGGAATCATACATCAGAGAACTTGTGCTTACACACCCTAGCAAACTGTGGTAGCAGAGAGAAAGCACAGGCACCTCGTTGAAGTTGCCAGGTCAATAAAATTTCAAGGTCACATTCCTATCAGGTTTTGGGGACACTGCATACTAGCTGCAACTTATGTGATCAATAGATTACCATCAGTAGCACTTGAAGGCGAATCCCGCTATGAGGTGTTCTTTTATAAAACAACTTCTATAAGCCACTTGAAGACTTTGGAATGTCTATGTTTTGTTGTTGTCTTACCAAGGGGAGACAAGTTTGCAAGCAGAGCAATTAGAGCAGTGTTTATGGGGTATTCCAGTGTAACCAAAGATTACATTCTATATGATCTGGAGAAGCATCTGTTCTTTGTGAACAGAGATGTCACATTTAGGGAAGATATTTTCCCATTTCAACTACAGGATACAGAGATGAATCGAACAATGGATCCCTTCCTTGTAAATGATAGTGATCTATTACCACCAAGGAGCCCAATACCAGCATGTTCACCTATATTGGAATCTCCTCCAGCAAATGTCTCTGCAATTGATCCTGCAATAATGTCAGAAGTAGTACCTGTCAATGAAGTTTCACAGGAGAATTCGACCTTAGAGGGTACTCTTGAGAATGAAACTTTACAGCACACTTACACCACACATGCATCTACAGAATCAACTAATCCTAATTAGGATATACAAAACATTCCTGCAATAGATAAGTCAATAGTGCCAGTTGACAATATTGAGCAAGTTTTTTCACCCATAAATAAAATTGACACTACAGTTCCTCTAAGAAGATCTCAAAGAGGATCCAAAGAACCTGTGTGGATGACAGAATATATTACTCAGAAGCCATCTACTAATTCAGTTTTGTATCCTATTGAGAATGTTGTCAACTATGATAGGTTATCCTCATCTCATCACATCTATCTTGGAGCTTTTTCAGCAATCACAGAACCTCAAAATTTCTAGCAGGCATCCCAAGATAAGAGATGGGTTGAGTCTATGCAGGCTGAAATTCGAGCTCTACAGGAGAACAACATCTGGGAACTGGTTAAGCTACCACCAGGAAAGAGACCTATAGGATGCAAATGGTTCTACAAAGTGAAGCTTAAAGCCTGTGGTAAGATAGAAAGGTTTAAATCTGGCTTTCATCAAAGCAGTCTGGATCACTCTTTGTTTATCAAACAATAAGGGTCAGACATTGTAGTAATTCTAGTCTTTGTGGTTGACATGCTAGTAACAGGAAGAAATTTACAACTGATTGAAGCCACCAAAAACTCTTTGCACCACGCATTCAAGATCAAAGACTTGGGAGATAGTTTTTCTTTGGAATGGAATTCAGCATATCTAAGGGAAGTATACCGATCAACCAGAGAAAATATGCATTGGAGATAATCTCTAAGTTAGGGCTCACAGGTGGTAAGCCACCATGGACTCATTTAGAGTCAAATGCAAAGTTGACTGTGCCAGAGCTTGATAAACTGATAGGAGTTGAGAATGATACTTTGCTAACTGACATTGGACTATATCAAAGGCTCATTGGAAAGTTTTTGTATCTGACATTAACTAGGCCAGACATAGCATTCTCAGTACAAACACTTAGTCAGTTTTTACAGAGTCCAAAGAAGTCTCATTGGGATGCAACATTGAGAGTGGTAAGATACATCAAGAGAGAATCAGGAATGGGAATTCTGTTAAGTAGCAGTAGCAGTAGCAGCAATAGGTTGTGTGTATACTGTGATGCTGACTGGGCATCATGTCCCAATACAAGAAAATCAGTGTCAGGTTAATAAGAAGAACACAATATCAAGGAGTTCAGCTGAATATAGAAGCATGGCAAGCGCAGTATCAGAAGTAGTATGGTTGACAACACTGCTGAATAAGTTGGGGACAAACGTAGAGTTGCCAATTAAAGTATACAGTGATAGCAGGACTACATTGCAAATTGCATCCAACCCAGTATTTCACGAAAGAACGAAACATATAGAAATAAATTGTCACTTTATCAGTCAAAAGATTCAGGAGGGATTGATAAAGATAGAATGTGATGACCTAAAAGGTCATCTTATGTTTTAGAACTCGGTCAATATTTTTGTAAACGGGCTCGGATCTATGTTTTGATAGTCCCGGTGGGTCCGTATCTAATTATGGGACCTAGGCGTATGTCCGAAATCGAATTCGGAGGTCCCTAGCTTGAGTTATGAATTTTTGATGAAAATTAAAAATCTGAAAATTAATTATTTTTAAGAATTGATTGATGTTTGGCATTATTAGTGTCGGATCCATATTCTGGTTTCGGAGCCCAGTACAGGTTCATTATGATATTTAAGACTTGTCTGTGAAATTTGGTGAGAAACGGAGTTGGTTTGACGTGATTCAGACGTATAGTTGAGAATATTGAAATTTTAAAGTGTTCTTGAGAATTTCATTTGATTTGGTGCTAAATTCGGAGTTCTAGATGTTATTTTGGCGATTTGATCACGCAAACAAGTTTGTATGATATTTTTAGACTTGTGTTCATGTTTGGTTTGGAGCCCCGAGGGCTCGGGTGAGTTTCGGATAGGCCACGGGATGTTTTGGACTTTGGAACTCTGGTTTTTCTGCAGAGTCTATGTTCTGGCATGTCCTTCTTCGCGTTCGCGAAGGTACTCTCGCGAACACGAAGAGTAAACTGGGCAGCTGAGGATTTCTTCTTCGTGAACGCGAAGCGATGGGGGTATTACCATTCGCGAACGCGATAAGCCCATCGCGAACGCGTAGCGTTAGGCACTGGGGAGGGGCAGATAGCTTTTTCTTCATCACGAACGCGAACAATGACTCACGAACGCGAATGTCATGACTCAATTTCACCTATAGGTCGTGATGGTGCCCAACACTACAGCTAGGCAAGCCAACTAATAAGTCAAACGTACATTGGTTAAACTTTTATTTCAAGAAAATAATAAAATACCAACTTCTACCAATGTGTGTGCCAAGACCCGGTGTCACAAGTGCATGAGCATCTAGTAGATTATACAAAACTTCAAATATTATCTGAAATAAAATAGACAGAATATAAATATAAGAAGAGACATTGGTAACTGCAGAACGGCTCAGAAAAGAAACTCACCACTATGCCTCGGGATGACGTGGGTATGTGATGATAGGTCCTCCACTAGTACCTATCTCAGGTCCTGCACAAAAAGTGCAGCAAGTATAGTATGAGAACGTAAACAACGTGTACCCAGTAAGTATCAAGCCTAATCTCGAAGTGGTAGAGACGAGATGGTCGACTTTGACACTCACTATGGGTCAATAATAACTGAAATAAAACTAGGATATTTAAATCAGCATGATTTACAGATTTCACAATAATTTATTTAATCAGCAAAAATAATTAAATTCCTTCAAATATAACAATTCTCAATATATTATTTAAATTTCTTCAATTCAAATAGTTTTCAATTTATCAATTAAACCTCATTTACAGGAGTCACAATTAATTCCTTAACAAGAAAGAATAATAATTTATTAAATTCCAAGGATTTTTTAATTTATTAATTAGCTTCACAAGCTGAAATAAATTATTAAAGTATCGTGTAATTATTATTATTAAGCATGATTTTTGCCGAGGACGTACGGCCCGATCCACAGTGTCGTGTACACTGCCGAGGGACGTGCGGCGCGATCCATAGATGCATCTATCCTGCCGAGGCGTTCGGCCCGCTCCACAAGAAAGGAGGACATTTTCTTAT